AAGAGTGCGGACTATAAAGTGAAGCAGAATGATGATGTTAACAACCTCATTCTCTTCATCTATCATGGTGCTGCCAACTGGCATAACTGTAAAAATCTTTTGTTTTCTTGATGTTGAAGGCTGAAATCCTTGACCTTCTCTGCAGCAAATGCCTCAGGTCCTAGAAGTGCAGTACTTCCTTGCTCTGTTCTGACGACCGCCTCCTGGTTCAAATATAGCTTTTACATAAGCACAATTAAGCATTCTGGGATTCCCATTCTTAGCAGAGTTAGCCACAGTTTGTTGTGATCCACACAGTCAAATGCCTTTGTATAGTCAATGAAGAACAGGCAACACATCCCTCTGGTACTCTCTGCTTTCAGCCAAGATCCATTTAACATTAGTTATAATATCCCTAGTACCACGGCCTCTACTAAACTCAGGCTGCACATCTGGCAGTTCTTTGCTGATAGGCTTTTCCAGTGGTTTTTGGACCATATCCAGCAAGATCTTGCTTGCATGTGATATTAATGATATGGCTAGATAATTTCTGCACTAAGTCAGGTTACATGTTTTTTGAAATAGAAACAAATATAGATCTCTTCTAATCAGCTGGTCACTTAGTTGTCCTCCCCATTTCTTGATACAACTTGGTGAGTGAATACAGAGCAGCAACAGTTTGCTAAAGTATGCCAAGTGGTATTCCAATAGTTCCTTGGGGCCTTGTTTTTGCCAATTCCTTCAAAGTAGCTTGAACTTTCTTCTTCATCACTACAGGCTCTTGACCACATATTGTTTCATGAAACTCTTCTGTGTCAGCCAATCCTTTTGGTACAGTGACTCTATATACTACTCCTTTCATCTTCATTTACTACTTCCTGGATCATTTAATATTCTGCACAAAGCACCCTTAAGTATTGCAACTTGAGGCTTAAATTAGTTATTCAGTTCCTTCAGCTTAAGAAATGCTAAGTGAGGGGAGCTTCTGGTGGCCTAGTGACAAGGAGCTGCAACTACAATCCCAGAGGCAGATGGTTCGAATACACCACATGCTCTGCCAGGGAAGGAGGGGCAGTCTCCTCCTGCACCAGTCAGATCTGATTTGACGGTACACTCACACAAAAATAATAAAATAAAAAAAAACTATAAGCGTTAAAACAACTATGAGATATCATCTCACCTCAGTCAAAATAGCAAAATATAACAGAACAGCAAGCAACAAATGCTTGCAAGGTTGTGGAGAAACTGGAACCCTTATTCACTGTTGGTG